ACCACAGCTCCACTCTTCGCCAAAGCTATGAGGTAACTGTAAACATCATCATTGAGCAAATCCTGCCCAGGGTTGTTCACCTTGTCCAAGCAGATCATGATCGTTTCACTCTCCTCCATGTCTGCCCACTTCTTTTCCGTGCCCGAGAAGAGATGCAGGTGGATTCTCCTTGCCCGCTCCATCTTCCTCCGTTTCCGCCTGTTCCACGGCAACTTCGTCACATCGTACTCCTGCGTGACCACCAGCCTCGCCAGCAAGCTATCCGGGACGTCCACAAAGAACTCCTTCAGCGCTTTCAGCATGGCTTCCTCATAGGTTAAACTCTCGGTTGACGCCACCTGGCCCTTCAGCATCGCAAGTTTCCAATTGAGCTCGGCCTTTTTGTGCTCCATCTGATCTATCATCTCCAGGGCCACATCTTCCTCCACCATAGGACATCCAGCAATCATCGTGACCTGCACTGGCTGCCCCTTGTAAGTCACCGCACAAACTCCGTTGGACCACGTCACCATGTAGCCAACCTCTGTCATCGCTCCCATGGGTACAATGACCTGCGTGCCCTTCTCTGCCAGCAGCGTCAACGTTCCCGGCTTGCTCCGCATTCTTGTACTCGAACCATCCGCCAAGTGCACTTCAACGATCTCGGCCTGGTTCCATTCCGTCTGGCTCTTTCCCGGCCTGAGCGCATGCGTTGCTCCTCCATCAAGAAGGCCCATGCCTCGACTTTCTTTGCCCATTTGATTCATCACGATCACCGCGTTCATCGACGGCAACCTCAACGATCGAAGGAGACTAGTTGCCTCGGCTAGCAGCTCCCCCGTTCCGCTGCCCGTTCCACCGGCCGTAGGTCCACCACCTGTAGTACCCGCCGCAGACGAGGTAGCCTCTTCTCCAGCCATGCTACTGTCACCTCCTTTCCAAGGCGATTTTTCGGCGCCTGCAGCACTCGCACCTTCACCTCCCCCCGAGCTGTTCCCCAGCTCGCACCTTGCGGCTTTCACAGCCGGCTTTGGCGTAGGCTTTCCCCCGAAATGCGGGTTCCCTACCTTTACCGTGCAGTCCGCTTTCCTATGGGTTTTTGCCCCGCAATTCCAGCATCTCGTTGCCTTGTCCGTGACCCCTTCCCAATCGTGAGGCCACTTGCAATTCTTGCCAGCTCTGCACCCGCTGTCGGAGATGAAGTACCTGCAGTTAATCGCCTCCTTCTTGACCGATGCTAGTCCTTCCGGAGGTGGTCCTGGACCAACTCTCTCGCTTCTGCCCTGCATTGCCTTGACCTTGGGCTGCACCGCCCCTTCTGTCACCATCAACTTGGCCGTGTCCATTTCCGCCAACAGCAACTCGGAATAGCTCCAGATACCAAGGGGTGTTGGTGCCGTATCCAAACCCAGCTGCGACCTCGCCTGAGCCACCCTGAACGCCTGCGTTCCTCCTCTGTTCACCAGTTGAACCACTCGTTCAAGTGCCACTGAGAGCAAGGTCGGGTCCGGAAGAGTGGCCCCAATTTCCTGCGCCCTCAAATAATATCTTCGCCACTCCCGCAAGGCTGTTGCCGCCTCCGCGTAGTCCTTCATGGCCCCCAGGTCCGTGAGCTTCCTCAGGATAAGGGCCCTCTCCCCCGGTCCTCCAGGCTGGTAGGTGACCAGGAGCCTGTATAACACTCCAGTTGACGTGATTTCTCTCGCCGCGATGAGCTCCTTCCTGATCTCCACCGGCACTGCCTTCAAGAGAAGCGTCACTCCTCTCTGCTCCGTCCTGACGAACCTTGGAGTCTTCAACCGGTCCGGCACGTCGACGGTGATCTGAAGCCTTTCCAGCGGTGTTGACTTCAACCAGACCTCGTAGATCTGCTTTGCCTGTCCCATCGTTCCGGCCCACCACTCAGCAGCTCCTTGAGAGAGATCACTCATTTGTGGTCCCACTTGCGCTAGCCAATCTCCAAGAGTCAGCGGGGAATGGTCATATACCAGCTCCGGCAACTCCACCTTTCCACCAGCTCCTCCTGATTCAATTTGTTCCACCGCTGCCTTCGGTTCTTCCTTTTCCCAACCGCTGCTCCAGTCCTGCCACGGCTGCCATGTAGAAGCAGGATTCCACCTTGCCCTCCACCAATGATCATAGTCCTCATCCTTCCAACGAGGTTGCCACTCATCTTCATTGGGCCGAAGGTGTTCATCGCGAGGTGGATTTCCTTCCGGCACTCTTGTACCTCCAGGCGTCTGCCGCTCTCTGCATTGGATTGGCGATCTTGATCTGGGCCTCGACACCGGTCCAGGCACACCTACCGGTCGATCTCTAGCTTGTGGAGGTGGTGGCGGTGGTGCGACATCAGATGATGAAGTTCCATCGGAGTTTCAAACACCTCCATCTTCTCGGCAGGCGTCACAAACCTCATGGAATGTTAAAGCACCCCCTAGCTGACTACCCCCCCCTCCTGGAATTAGGGATAGCCCCTTATTAAGGCCTTATTAGGGTCTTAATAAGCCATTGTTTTTATGTTAGCAGAATAAGGGCAAAATAGGGGCTAGTGCTTCAACCTTTTTCGTCACCACTAGTTTGGTCGTATTTTGGGCTGAGGTCCGCTGAGGTGTCAATGTCACGGGATGATGGGTTCCGGACTCGTCTGGGTGCCAAACAAGACAAGGTTTCAGAAAGACACAAACTCAGTCACGACATGTGCAGCACCCGCTCCAGCTGAATTCAATCGAATCAAGTTCTCACAAACAAAAACAACAGGAGGAAATTGTCTAGCGGAGCCTTTCGTGTTGCAACAATTTTTGTCCTTCTGTTGGCCTGCCTGAGAAATCTTCAAATGCCGTCGGGGGTTGCCCATTTCGGCCTTATTTGGGCCTTATTTGGGCCTTGTTTGGGGCTTATTTTGGCCTTATTTCAGAAATCTTCAAATGCTGTTGGGGGTTGCCCTTATTTGGGCCTTATTTGGACCTTATTTGGGGCTTATTTTGGCCTTATTTCAATAATCTTCAAATGCTGTTGGGAGTTGCCCTTATTTCGGCCTTATTTGGGCCTTATTTGGACCTTATTTGGACCTTATTTTGGCCTTACTTTGGACTTATTTCAATTCTCTTATTTGAGCCTTGTGTTGGCTCGATTGCAAATGTTGAAATCAGGTGGCCTTATGGTTTGCTTTCTGTTTGACTTTAGGCAGGGTTTGGCCCTTCCTTTGACATAGTTTGTATTTTTTGTGGGGGAAAGCAAGCGTCAATCAGTGGTGAGTAGTGAGCTGTGCAGAAAATGCTCTTACCGCACGCCAGCGCAATCCCAAGTATTTGCATTCTGCTACGATGTGGGGTCCCAGGGAGTGGCGTTGGGCCGCTTGAACGATGGAAAGCGTCTGCTTGGCAAGGTCCGAGTTTGGCTTGTTTTAGCTCAGTCAAATTAACTTCCGGGGGGGGGGTAGTTGGCTAGGGGGTAGCTAAACATTCCATGAAAACCTTTCCGCTTCTTTCTCATCATGCTTGGTCTTCCAGAACTCCGCCTCCAGCTGCCACTTTCTCTCCTTCGCCCTCAGATTCTTGATCACGTCAAAGAGGTACTTCCTCTGCTGTTCCATTCCTCGAATCTTCCTGCACGCCTTCATGAAGTTCTTCTCCATTTCCTCCGCAAGGTCCATGTCTCCGATCAGCTCGTCGTCATCCTCCCGTTGAGCTCTTTCAGGAACCCACACCTTGTGCTCGTCGTTCCAAAGCCAGTCCAAATCCAGCCGGGTCAGATTCCTCGACGCCCCCGACGCCACTTGCGAGCTTCTGCCAGGGAGCACCCCTCTGTTGCCCGTCCTTTTGCATGCCGCTTCCCACAGCCGCTGATCTCTGAGGCTTTGGTCCTCCATAGGATCATCAGGTTGATCTTCACCAGCATGTGGTTCTCGCCATTCTGGTAGTGGATCTCCTTTTCCTCCTTGCCGAGGAGCTCGTGGATCTTGTCTCTCAACTCCGCCTTCCGTCCCACCTGGACCGCGTAGTTCAGCTTTCCGTTCCACTGGTCTCCCTCGCATGATTCCAGGCCTTCCGATTCCTTTTTCCGGTGGCCCTCGTCCTTCATCCGGCCCCAGGTCACCATGATACGGTGGCTCTCTTCCATTCCCATGTAGTAGAGCTCCATCTCCGCTTCGTTCATGTCCATCACCTGGACGTCGACCTTCCTCCTGCAGACCATACTCGCCGCCGTTGGCCATTCCGACATTTCCTGCGTTCTCCAGGTCCGCTGTCAGGTCCCTCTTTACCTCGCTCCAGAACTCTTCTGTTCTTGTCCTACTGCCAGCAGCTTCAGGGTGGCCACCAACTCTATCACACTCTTGCCCAGGAAGATCTCCCTCAGGAGCGCCACCAGCACCTCCCCAAGCGTCCATCCCTGTCTCGACCTTCTGGGGGCTCACGGTGTCCGGGACCTTGGGCAGACCCTCCGGCCTCATTGCCTTCAGTCTTGCTGCATCCACCGCCCGTGAACTCCAGAAAGGGTTTACATCCACCTCCTGCCGCTGACCTCTCCGTGGTTCTCCACCTCGTTCTTCTTCTTGAAGAGGTAGATCTCCATCGGCTTCCGCCACCATGGTCCCCTCCATGGTCGCCGCATCCACCGACCTCGCCCTTCGCCTCCGCATCCCCGCATCCATGGCCAAAGAGCGATCAACACGTTGGGCTCATAACCCTTGCTAGCGCAGCTTGTTTTGCCACGCTTGAGTCTTGTAAAAAAGGGGCTACCCGGATACAGCATCGGGCCACGAATTCCACTTATGGTTCCATTTTCTCCTGGGTGGGGATAAATGGAATTGAGGGACCCCCCACCCCTCCCCCTTAAGGCAGGGCTCGTTTTTTATGGGTCACCCTTCTTCCATTTTTGCTGAAATGAACAACAAGTTACCATTTTTTTTTGGGGGGGGGGTTGTTGGCTAAATTCCCCTGAAGTTGCAGCGGGATCATATCATTCCCAGCTTCCCCCACCGAGCTGCGAGCGCCAGCGCGGTGCGTCGGAACGCTTCGCAGGCGGCTGAGGCCGCCAGCTCTCCGGAGCTGCGGCTGTGCTCAGGCTGCGGCGCCTTGCCCTTCACCCAGGAGAAGTGGCTGGAGACGATGCCCGAGGACGCGGTGTTTTTGTTTGTTTTTGTGTTTTTGTGTGTTTCCCCCCCCCCTTTTGTTTCTCCCCCTGTTTATTTTTGTTCTTTTTCTTCTTCTTCTTTTTTTTTTTGGGGGGGGGGGGGCGCCCGAAGAAGATGTACCGCTTCAACTGTAGTGGTTTAGCGATGGCTCCCGAAGGAGATCCATCCGACTTCAACTTGAGATGCGGTGGTTTGTCCGAATTTAAGTAAGCCTCTGAAAGTTGGTCACTTTAGCAGGGGATCTGAGGACAGCAATAAGCTAAGTCTTCCGTTCGTGATGGTGGTCTAGTTGGTATTGGTCTCGGCGCCCCTTTTTCCATTGTTCTCTTCTGGAGCAGCTCCCAGAATGCCCCCCTGTAACTGCCAAGCAAGAGTTCTGTCAGGGGAAGGCCCCTCGAAAGCAAAACCATGCGCATGTAATTCGGCACAAGCACTTTTTGGGATCCATGCTGCGCAAGCCCCCGTGTAAGCTCTGGTTCGTGACTGCTTGCCAAAGCTGTTGAATGCCAGGGGCTTAGCCGATGGAATTCCCAAGCCCAAGGATTACCGCAGAGCAGACGCAGCAAAACCAAGGGGTCCAGGGAGCAAGAGGGCTGCAAAGCGCAGACCCCGAAAGGAAGAGCAGCGCCTCTTTCCGCGCCGCCGCTGTTCAAAAAAAACGTGCATAACTCTGAGGAGGAAGTGGATGAAGAATCGATCTCAGGTGGATCAGCTTGGGATGACTGCCGCGCAAGCTAAAGCATGGGCCGCGTAAGCAAAGCGATAGCTCGCACGCAAGCAACCTTCCACGACATAGTGACTGAATGATCTGACCAGGGTGAATACACCTGAGACTTGAGTGCTCCACGCACCGTTGCTGTAGGGATGTATTTGCCCTGTGGGCCATAGTTAGGGATGGTGGAGGCGGTTGGGTGGGTGGACGCGCAGCTGTTTGTGTGTGCTTTGTAGCCCACAAGAGCCTGCGGCGTTTGCTTTGCGTTACGTTTTTTTAGTTCTTGGCGTGTTTTTTCCCCTGGGATGCATCCAATTATGTACATGTCGTGCGCAGGGGGGTCCATGCTGCGGTTTGGACATTGCTGGCACCACGCACATCCCAAACCAATTGTCGAGAAATTGGCTGTGGGCACTGTGCATCTTGACGGTCGTGTCAACATGTGCATGTTTGCACGGTACCTTCACTGAATCAAGTTGGTGTTTCTTGGTGAAGTGTGTGTGTGTGTGTACGCTTTGCTTAGATTTGCGAGACCTTGGTCCGGACTGTGCTCTCCTGACTGCCTGCTAAAGCAGAGGGCCACCAAACATGACGAGGGCTTCCTGTTTTCCAGTTAAAACGGCCCATCTTTGGGACACATGAGCCTGCCAAGACATCAGCTTGGATCCAAGGAATGCTTCCGCGTACCGCCACTGGCTTCTTTGCTTGGCGGTTCGCGCCCGTCCCTTTAGACTTTTAGGTGTTTGTGGTTATAGTGGGGGAGTTCATTCAACCTACAAAAAGTTAAACTTTCAGCAGGGGATCTGAGGACACGTAAAAAATTCTGAGAAATTGAAAAAAACAACACGAGTGTAGCATTTCCTTTGGCGAACGGGTGCTCTTGTTATCCTTTCCTAGGTCGCCCAGTAGTGCCCTCTTACCCTTTTTTTGGGGGAGGGCTGCCCTGCTAGAATAGACTACAGAAAAAGCAGTTGGTACCCTCCTTCTAACCTGTTTCCCTGGAGGACCTAGTCTCCCATGCTCATGTTGAACTGGAGAAGTGGCATAGCCTCCAGATCCGCGCGTCCGCGCGTCTCGGATGGGTTTCTGCCGTGCAGGACCCTCGCTTCGAGGAGGACACCTTGTTCAACCGACCCTGGGAGGAGAAGCTGGTGAGGCTCTGGGCCGCTGACCATGTGGAGGAGAAGCCAGCGAGAGGGAAAGGTGAGGATTTGTGGCTCAAGGGATCATAAGGGATCCCAAGCTTCTTGGTTCCCAGCCATGCGGTACCGTAGCTTGAAAGATTGTTTAAATAGGGTTTAGCGGTTGGTTCATGTAACCCAATAAAGTTCGTCACTGTTAGCAGGGGATCTGAGGACACCCTTCCTCTTGCCCTGTAAACAAGAGAAGCAAGGCTTCCATTTTTTGCTCAAGTGAGCCCGAAAAAGAAAGCAGTGGGTTCAGGTAGGTTGTGAGAGTGGGCTTCTTTCATTCAGAGACGTTCGGCGCAGGTTTCGTTCGCGTGGGCCGGCTGCCCATCACTCAGGCAGTCAGTGGACATCTTGGTCACTGCCCCTGGAAATTTCAGGATCCGGTATGCAGGCAGTCACTATGTTCGAGTTACCCGGGCGACGCGAAAGGCCAGATGTTCGCGTCAAGAGAAAAGTTTCGATGAGAACGAGTCATTTGGGAGATTATTGAAATCATGGTGTGGTATTGTGGATGCTGCTGCAATGGGCCTGGCATGCAGTTTCCCATCATAAGCGGCGGTGTTGGGTTTGTTGAACCGAGAGCAAGCCATGGCACTTTTGATCGCAGAGACAACTCCTGATGCTGACTTCTCCGAGAAAAATCCTCACTGCTGAAGCGTGCGGCGTTGCTGCTTTATGGGAAGATCTGTCAGTTGTAGGCGGGGATCTCTTTAGGCTTCACACCAGGCTGAGCTCGGCAAAGCTGGGGCTTGCTAGGCCCTAGTTAGGCACGTCACAGCCGTCAGAGACATCCAGGAGCAACACTTGCTGCGGGTGCTGAAGGCTCTGGAGCTTTGCCATCACAGCATCCAGCAGACCAAAGGCTTTGAGATCAAGGGCGACAAGATGTGTGTGACCGGCACCAAGAAGCAGCGCAGTGCTTTCGGCGGCCTTCGCGGCCTTAGAGGTCGCATCGTGCAAGCAGGTATATGCATGTGCATATGTTACAGCATATGCATGTGCATAGGGGATATACCTGGAGATCCCTTCTGGGAATTCCTGGTAGGTTTCTGGCTTTCACAAATTTGTCCAGCGCAAATGACCGCAAATTGCCGCAAACAGCGTGGGCCGCAAATCGCCCGCAAACCGCCGCAACAAATGCAAGTCCAACCCAGAACGACTAAAATGCCCAAAGCACAGAACACTGGAACACCCGGGAATTTCCAGCAAAAACCTTTGTGTATAGTGTATACACACAGAATGTAATTCTATATGTTACTGTATGTAGTTCAAATATATATATGTATATATACATGTATATTATGTAAAAACCTGTAATTTTATGTGCATATGTACATACATGTGTGTGTGTGTGTCAAACAGCTTCAGCCTCCGTGGGGCCCATGGACCCAGCATGACGTTTGCGAGGGCCACGCTCCCAGCCACGCTTGACCCCAGAGGTCTGAATGTTCTCCTATACTTTACTGCTATTGGGCAACGGATCTTTAGTCTTTAACATTTTGGGCGAAATCAAGGGGTTTTCCACCGAACCCCCCCAAAAAGTTACACTTTTTGCAGGGGGGTCAACAGCAACCAAGTATAAAAGCCATGTGGAACGTCTCACATGCTGACGCATTCTGTGGCTGTTTTCTCTTTGTGACGCTAATGAACGGGAGTGAAAGGACACACCGCGTTGTTGGGACTGTTTGCGCGTGTTTTGTCCCGCCTGTTTTCCTCGTTCTCTCAATTGTGGCGCCTTGGTTCTGCTGTTTTGAACGTGTCCCATTGGTCAGTCGTTGCTTCCTTGTTTTCCTATGGTTCCTTGTCTTCCATTTGCTTCAGGATACTGTTATTTTCCCTTGCTGATCTTACAGGGATCTATCACTACTGGAAAGATGTTTATCTCTTCCAGTACACTTAACTTGCTGCATTCCTTGTGGTTTCTTTTTTAAGGGGACCCCTGGATTCATTCCCCACTGAGCACCAGCAAGTTACGCAAGTGGAGGGTTGTGTCTTCGTTTCGAGCCGACAACCCTAGCAACTGAGGCGTCCACAAGGCAGGTGCTTCCCGAAGTGTCACTTACGGCCTCGCCTGTGCCCACGCAGCCCTTGAGGAGGAGAGAGAGAAAGAATAAAACCCACGGAGTCGGGGCAGGTGAGTTGTGTGTGTGTGTGTGTCTGTGTGTGTGTGTGTTTTGTTTGGCTTGTGCTGTGCTCTTTTATTTGTGATTGTGCTTTTGGGTGGGAGGGTTGCCCAAAAGCCAGCCATCAGGAGGCTTCTGTGAAAGATGCTTTCTGCAGGTTGGTAGCTTCTCTGCATCAGCCAGGCCAATTGCGAACCCTTGATCCCCATTCTTTTAAGATATCAAACTTTCAAGGATACTCTGCTTTGTGCCGCGTGATGACATCAGCAGATGAGAAAGGGACAAAAAGTGATGGCAAGACAGAGTTAGGCAAAGTGAAAAAGCCCGGAGGCGGTCTCAACAATAGCGGCTTGACCAAAAACAAAACGTTCTGCACCGCGGGTTGGCAGGAGAAGGACACAGTGCGGCGCGCCCTGGCCGGCCATGGTCAGCGCGCCATGCTGCTGGGCGTTTCCTCGGCCTCCGATGCCAAGCCCGAGATGATGAGGCGAGGGGGAGGGAGAAGCAGCCGAAGCGAGCTCAAGCGACCGCTTGAAAGTCGCAACCATCGGTGTCCTTCGCGGGTTAGTTTGCATAGAATAGATGGGTTCCACTGGCTTAGATTGGTTTTACTCCATTTACCAGGGAAGCCCATCTTTTTTTCTTTTCTTTTTTTTTTTTTTTTTTTTTTTTTTTTTTTTTTTTTTTTTTTTTTTTTTTTTTTTTTTTTTTTTTTTTCGAAAGGCCACCTATGGTTGCAACTGCATGGTGAATGAAGGGTCTTTGTCTGCAGGACCCTTACTGTGGTGAAGTGTTGTCCTTTTGGACCCAGTGGTAGCTTCGGCCTTCGGATTTCTTGGATTTGCTTTTCTTTCCTCCGTGGAAGGTCACTTCGAAATCAACAAGCCATTTCTCTAGCTCCGTACTTCTCATGAAGGGCTTGACCAGACTAGGACCCCGTCAGATGGCTAGGCATCAGTTGGAATCCAGCGTTCGAGAGGTTCCTTTCAGGAGCCGTGTGGACAAGTGTCCTCTGACTTCCCGCGGAGATGTGACAAAACCGTATGCAAGTAGATGTGGCATTCACACAAGTATAAATGATGTATTTTCAAAAATATGGACCCCTTGTTGGACCCTTTTCAGAGGCACACCCGGCGTACACCCCCACAACCCCCCATGTATATATATATATGTATACATATAGTGACACTGTATGTTACATTCATGCCGCAGCTTCATAGCTTCGGAACAAAGATGTGAGACTCAAGATCCGGTCATGCAGTTCTGTGTCCAGTGTCATGGGCCGAAAAGCATGTGCTTAGCTAGCTTGTCGACGCTCATCTTTTTTGTTGGGTAGGTCGGCACCTCGGAACTGTTGAAGATTCGGCAGTTGTTGGTCCAATAGCAAGGGAGCCTACTGTCTACTTACATGCCAAAAGGACGTACCCTGCCAACAGGCAATCATCAAATTTGCATATCAAATTTGAGAGCCTCTTTGGCGCCAGTCAGCAGCCCTCGTTGCTCTCAGGAACGCCCAAGCAAGTATTTGCAACATGCGAAAGCCCTGCCACAGCTGCGGGCGTCCAATCATACATACAACAAGCAACCGAGGGGCAGGCCAACACTGAGATCCACAGTGTCACACCGCTTCATGTTGAACTCATTTCCACGCGGATTCGGATATGATGAGTGCTTAGACCTTAGCACATACGTGTCTGTGGGTTTCAGGAGGACGTGGGGAGTTCACTTCCAGAACTTCTTTCGGGTGGATACCCTCCCACCAACCAACATGGAAGTGCAAAAAGGCCCTTTCCAAGCGGAAAGTCGTCTTTCTGCAGGGGTCTCTCTGTGCACTTCCATGTTAGCTGGTGGGAGGGTGACCCCCTCGGCACAACCCCCGACTCTTCATGCCCTTCGCTGGCTGGCAGGAGCTTCTACCGAGCCAAGGCGCTAGGCAACTGACACCAGCCAGGGATTTCCAGCCGGTGGCAAGTTGCCACCGGAACGGCGGACGAAAGGCTCGGCGTGTCCTTTCATAAACAGCTTGGCAGGCTTGCACCGCTGCTCACGACTTCATGTTTCTGTTCAGGACAACTAGGTCCCCCAGTAGTGCCCTCTCGCCCCTTTTTGGGGGCTTTCCCCTACTAAAATAGACTACGGAAAATAAGTTGGCACCCATATTCTAACCTCTCTACTGGAGGACAGCCTTTCTTCTTGCAGGCTTTTCTTTGCTGGACGTCGGCTGATCCTCCCAGAGGTTTGATCCTAGGCCTCTCAAAACAGTGGGCCCGGATTCAAATCCATGTTCTTGAAATTACAACCTGGCAACCATGTCCTCAATTCTTATATGTCACAACATTTGTCTAACAAGTAATGCCTGTAAGAGCTGACCAAAGAAAGCACACCACGCCCGGGGCCCTTTTGTTTGTACCATTTCTCTCTTTTTTCTCCTTCCCTCTTCCTCTCCCTCTCCCTCACCGTCTCCCTCTCCGTTTAACCCTTGGATATTGTGAAGGTCTTACGTGGCTGTTGCCACGCCTTGAGAAAATGGCCCCAGCAGCTCCAAGCCAAGTATCGCTCGATCCCCCGGGTATCGGAGAGCAACCCACTGGGGCAAAGAAGGGCACATAAACGCGTTATTTTTCGGTTTTCTGCACGCTTCTTCCAACAATTCACAATTTATTTGTGTTTATTTCAGGAAACTGTTGTGAAATTGTTCTTAAAGAAGTTCTAGGCATAGGGTACATGTAACCTGTTGGCGTTGAAATCAGGAGTAGCCTAGCTGTAGTTCGAGGCTCGCCCGCCGGAAGCCCCTTGAAACTGACGAGGGGCAGAAGGTACCAGGAATCTCATGTGCTGCGCTTGTACAGATGCCAACCGCCGGAATTTCGTCACCTGAGGTGAGCAAGAATATGTACAGTCTCATGGCTTCCGCGAGCAAGAAGAGGTGCGTTCCCTTGCTTGGGCAGATGCGACCGTCCAACCACGACCCGGAAAACATTATAAGAACGACCGTCTAAGGCACCAAACAGTTGGTTTGGTCGACACGGGGTTGACGCCCTAACAATGGCACCAAAGAAGGGAAAACAACCACTGAAGGAAGCCGAAAGGAGATGCAAGCTGTTTTCAAGCCTCCTGTCTACCGCCTGGATGGCCTGCAAGAGGCAACCTTTGCAGCAGATCCCGACCCCTTACAAATGGAATTGGGGGGGGGGCTGGCATTGCACTCGCAGAAGGGGAGCCCCAACCATGAAAGAAAAAACACGCATGCCCATGTGACCAGAGGCCAGCCATTGGTTTGATTACCTTCCCCTTGGTACTCCATTGTCATCCGTTGATTCGCAGGTGCGTTGTTGCAATAACACCGTTGTTTGGTCAGGCACTGGGCTTCAAATGTCCCTTGTTTGAGTCTCGAGCCTTCACAATGGCCCAGCAGTCAGTTGCCGCAGGCAGTTGAGTTAGGATCGCGAAGAAGATATCCAGCAACCCCTGCAGCATTCCTGACCTGAAGTCACCTTAGGCCACCTCCCCAGTGCCCTGGTTTGCGTCCTCGTTGGGAAGGGGGCCCATGTACGGACGTTATGCTTCCCTTGGAAGCATGGAACCATTGCAGTGTCATGGTGACTTGTACGGGTCGGCTCAAATCGACGTAGTCTGACCTTGGTGCCTGGGGAGGTTGGAGACCAAATGCCGCCTTTGGCTCGAGACCCAAAGCTAGGCTTCATTTGCGTTGGAGGGCATCTTAGCGGCCATGGAGTCGCTTGGCCTCGGAGGGGGGGGGGGGGAACGCCCAGCTCTGGTGCGTTCGAAGGTGAGATATGGCTTGGTGTTAGATGCCAGCTCCTACATTGTTAGAACCATTTATAGCTTGGCTAGGATTTTCAGCTTGTTTGTTGATTCCTTTTCACACCTTCGCCGGACTCCCACATTGGCTGCATTCGCCGTCCGTGATTGCCGCTCGTAGCAGATAGCAACTCTGGTTTGGATTGGCTTTCCCTCCAAGGGTTGGGGTAGCCTTCGCTGAACGCCAGCAACTCATCCCTGAGCACCATCTGTCTGAGCACCATCCGTCAGCACTATGATTGCTATAGACATGCCTCCCCACTGTAGGATTGATCATGGAGCTGTGGCCATTTTGAAGACTTTGACGTGTGGCTTGGGGTCTTTACCGCCTCGGCGCAATGTAAGGCCTGCCGTGGCACCCGACGCCAGCGAGCCTTCGCAGGCGTCCGGGGGTGGGGGGCGGAGGCGAGGGGGCGGGGGGTGGGGCCTTTGCATCCGGGAGGGGTGCTTCCCTTCAAAATCAATACCAAAGGAGCGGTATTATGTGTTCAGGGCCTTTGAACAAGTGTTACGCCGTTTGAAGGTTGTTTTTGGGACAGCTTGTGTGCAGTATATAAGCATATACAGTATATACAGCCATTTCCACACCCTCTCCATCCCAGCCCACGCGGAACTCAACGACAACCCAAGTGCATGCCTACAGAGTTGGAAGATCTGCATATCATGCAAGGTGCGATCATGGAACGCGCCGACACATGTTTCTAAGAGATGCTTTAACTAGGGAGGCCAATATCACTCCTTCTGCAGGGACACGAAGTAGGTTGAACATCCTCGAATCGAAGCATCCGAGAATATGCCAAGAGCACGACATGTGTTGAAGCCCGGGTGGATCACTCTTGGCAACCTTCTTCCATAATCTTGGGCTCAAGCAGCTCCAACACTCTTCCATGTCTTATTGCTTTCCCCCATCGCTGTCAACTGCGTGTTTCGGGTTCTAATTTTGACGTTGCCTCCATCTGCGGGCTGCGTGTGCCAAGAGACCCGCACGCCCGTCCGTGCTGTGTCGCAGGAGCCAAGGGAGAGCACGCCAGAGGCGGGAAGTGGAGGTTTCTGGGTTCGGCGCTTTTGCCTTTCAAGTGGTTTGGAGGAGGCAGTTTGGGACCTTGGGGGGGACATATGGAAACACCCCTACAATCCCAACTAGGTCCCCCAGCTAGGTGCCCTTTTTAGCCTTTTTTTTCGGGTTGGGAGGGTTCCCCTGCTAAAATAACTGCAGAAAAAAGGGTACCCTTACTCTAACCTCTCTACTGGAGGACCCAGCCAACATGAATCCAAGAGTCAGCGTAAGGAGAGCCCAACTGGGCCAACCAGCGAACGAGCTAGAACTTGCTCGGCGCGGTGTGAGTTTTTGCCCGCCCTTGCCTGGGCACCTAACGAGGTGAACGGCGTCAAAGAAAAATTGGCGGCCTCCCCTTGCGAGCCAGACTCAAAATCATGGAGCCTACAGGCGGTTTTTGGCAGACCTTTTGTGGCAGGCGAATCATGAAAGGAGGCTAATGAATCATCCGCCCCTCCCAGAGTGTTTCAGTTTTGGTACCACCCAGGTACAGCAACAAACATAGTCAGGTTGATTACGAAGCCCCGCAGATTTTCTTTCCTTGAGCCTTGCACCCACGCCAACAGAAATGGTTGTCGCGTTCTTGTTTCTTGGGAAGACACCAGCGTTCTGTTTTCGGTCCCCAGCCATCCCCTTAGGTTTTAAGGTTTCGCGGAATTTTCGTTTTACCCACATCAAGTGTTAAACGTTTCGCTGGGGATCAGAGTGGGGTTCGAATCCACTGACTGGACCTCGCGGGTTCTTCTACGCCCAGTTGCCGTGACCTAACGTTTATGGGAAAGACAAAGGTTTCGGCGGGTTTCCGGAAACCCCTTGCGCGAGTCGCCGTGACCGCGTGGAAGAAAAAGCGACCGCGTGACCATGCCCAGGAGCCCGCGGGCTTTCCCCGGAAGATCTTCCGCTTCGTGGGCAACGTGGGCCACCGCCGGCGGCCACAGGGAAAAACGGCACGACTTTCTTTGAAAGGGAGCGTGCAATACGGGGTGCGATTTTGGAGGATTTTTGGTGCGAACAAGGGAGGACTACCCAAATTGATCAGGTCCCCCAGCTAGGTGCCGGCTCTTTCACCCCTTTTTTGGGTTCCCCTGCTAAAATAGACTACAGAAAAAAGTTGGTACCCTTATTCGAACCTCTCTACTGGAGGACCTAGCAAATTTCCCCCTGTCTGCCTATGATTCCTGACCCTCTCCAATTCAACCAGGTCCAGGCTCAGGCGTTGGAGGCACGGCCGGTCTCGGATGAAAATTGTCGTTCTGGACCCTTAGGAGTGCAATAACTTGATGGCTCCCAGCCATTCATTTCCTTCGCTTTTTAGCCGTTTAGTGTTTAGTTGTAGTTTAACCGTTTAACCGTTAAACTTTAGCGGGGGATCTGAAGGGAGCCCAGATATTTGGGATTGACTTGTGGTAGTTGAAATTTTGGAGGGCCTGCCAGGAAGCAGCGAGGTTTGTATTGTTGGGGGGACGGGCCTTGAACGGGAGGGGGATATGTCTAGGAGGTTGATGTTTTGTTAGCAAATTGTAGTAAGCAAATGGCTGCTCTCGAGTACAGTAGCTGCTTGTTCATCATTTTAGAAGGGCAACCCCTTGGGGTTATGAAAGGAACGAGTGTTGGCAATAGCTTTTGGAACTCTAACATCGAGTTCGGTTGACAAAACATGTTGGGCTGGCAGAATGGTCAGAAGGGGATGTCGACTGCCGGAGGAATTCCTTGCTGCCCCTCGCCTTTGAACTCGGCTGGAAACTCCGCCTGTGACTTTTTAGGGGAGTTTGCATAAAAATAAATGGGTTCCACTGGTTTAGAACCGGGTTTTGTTCTATTTTGCAGGGAAACCCATCTATTTTTAACCAAAAGGCCACCTATGCTTCCATGCGTGAACTTGCATGGCTGGGGTCCTAGGCATCTTTGACAACATGAGCTTCGTGGGCGAGGCCGGTACTTGCCGTCGGCCGAACCCACGGTGGTCGTTTTGTCGGGCTGTGGATCATGCGCACGAGCCAGTCGTTGTCCGTCCCGGCCACGTTTCTGCATGCCGCTAGGTGACCTGGGGAGGGGCAGTTGTTCCTCTGTTGTCCCTCTTGGCGGTTTGCGACCCTGAAGATTTTTAGGTTTTGCTGGTTTAGTGGGGGGGTGTCCATTCAGCCCCCGAAGAATTAAACTTTTAGAAGGGGATCTGAAAACTGCCCAGTTCTCAAACAGCGACAACATTTGCACATTTGGCTGTGGTTGTCAAGACCGTTTTGGGATCCCATTTTGGGGGATTGGTGAATTCACCACCCATTTTAGAACCCGTTCAGTGGGGATAACCGGGATTTTCGCCAGTCGACATCCAAGCGCGAGGCCACCAGGCGCCGAAACCCAATTCATCGCGATGGATGTGTTTTCTTCTAGGTCCCCCCAGCTAGGTGCCCTTTCTCACCCCTTTTTGGGCGGGAAAGGTTCCCCTGCTAAAATAGACAAAAACGAAAAACAAATGGTACCCTTATTCTAATCTCGTTTGCGAACGTCCAACACAAACATTTTTCCAAGTGGCCAGTGGGAGACCAGTGGGAGATATCCACAAAGAGTTTTCCTTTGGCTAATTTGAAAGGACCCCTAGCAGGCAGCCTGGCAGCCGCCCGATCACTCTTGTGATTTCTTTGCCCCTGAGCTGGTGCTGGTGATTCTTTCAACTGGTTTTCTGCCTTCTACCTTGAGACGAGTCCAGCGTCCTTCGATGGGTCTCAGCTGAAACCTACTTACTCGCCTTGGCACAAAGGAGCCTCGAGGCACGAAGGCAATGAAAGACCAGGCTCGAGCCCCGTGGCCCCCTGTGGCCCTGCGGCATTCTGGCGACTTTCTCTGATGTTCGGTGCGCCCTGGAACATCTGTAAGCTCAAGCGGTTGCGCTTTGGTTTTGTCATTATGTTTAAAGAAGATTCACTTGTGACATGAGACAGGGTCAAATTTGCTGCCATGCAGATTTAGATGAACAGATGAACGGTTCATGTCCGCGGGTTAGTTTAGCAAAATTCACAGAACCTGGAGGCAGCCGCTTGTCCAACCGCGGCCGAAGCGTACTTCCCGTGCTGTCCTTGCACTGGTGGTGCGAGTTTCGACTTCGCAGCTGCCCAAGTTGTCTTTGCGCCCAGCTGTATTGAAGTGTTGTGGCTTTGCCAGCCGGAGCTGCCAAAGTGCACCTGAACCGACCATTTGGCCAATTTGCGAGATGGAGGTGCACTTCGCACGCGGCAGCACGGACAAGCTGAGATGCGCTACTGCTGGGGCTGCCAAAATGCACTTTGCGTGCTACACCGGCACTGAACAGTTGCAATTGGGCGTGAAAACCAGTGAAGAAAACCAATGAGAAGAAGCCAAAGCCAAGCCCATACCCCAATGGACTACCCCGCCTGGATGGACCTTAGATTGCTGCTGGCTGCCTTGTAACATGCCTTGCTATGAGTGACTGTGCAACAGAAAGATGTTTGCGCGCGCGTGGTGCCAAAACTTGGACAACAATACAGGGTCGCTAGTGAAGCGCGGAGTGCCAACGCTCGGAAGCGATAGGTGACTAAATCCGCATCGCAGATGCCACAGTGTCCCAACAGCCTCCTTGAGGGCCGCTTTTGCAGCCCTCATATTTGGGACCTAATCTGTTTGACTTGCTTGCAAGGTGCTTCAAACAGGCATCATTGGTTGTCATGGCATCCATGTTTGGTTCAGCAGTTGGTGATTTGTTCAAGCAAGCTTCAATCAACACTTGGTGAGAGGGTTGTGGGATCAAGGAGTTTCTCCCCACTTCTGTGATACAAGGGAATCCCCCCTTTATATGAACAAAGTAGTCTTTGGTTGTATCCCTCTCTGTTGTATCACGGTGGTCATTCCCCACAGCCCTGCTTGGTGACCCTGGTAATTCTGTTCAATTGGCAGACATCTTGGCTGGATGTTCACAAACATGCCAGCTGGCACGGGCAGAGTGTGCCAGGTGTTGGTGGAGTTCATGGAATGGGACAAGCACCCGCCGCTTGGAAGGTGAGGTTTGCTCGTTCTGCAGCTCGCAGGACGTCAAGAGGATTGTTGAAGCAGGGCGTCTGGTAAAATGGGATCTTTGGACTGGCGCATGTGGGTTTTTTTCCGCGGCCCGGCGGTTGCCTCTGCTTTCGCTAGTTCCAGGGCACTCTTGTCGAGCTTCAGGGAACCGATCCCTGCTTCTTTTCCGCCATAGGGCCATGGGCCTTTGCCATGCGTCTCTGGAGTGGGCTTCCTTAGCTGCGAGCGGGATAGGTGCCATGCAGCCACTTGTGGGATTCGGGTTGACGAGCCTGGACCCTGCAGGCTTTTTCTTGCAACCGCAGGGTGTGCGCGTTGTATATTGTTGCGTTTCTGAAGCAAAGGCCCTGGTCATTCAGCTTGTCGACGCAAACCGCCCTTGAGGTCAGGACGGGAGTCGGCCGGATTGGAAACCCTCTCAAGAATGATAAGTTTCCAAAAGTCCCAGAGAAATGCATCCTACCCACGGCACACACACCGAAAAACAAGTCCGACGCGTTTGAGGTACCACCGGGAAATGGAGCAGCTGCGGAAAGAGCAGCGGCACAAGCAGATCCAACAGCAGATCCAGGAGGAACAGAAGGAGGAGAAGGAGGCGTGCTGCTTTTGAAGTTATGACCCCACATGGCCATACTGCGGATGGACAAAATCCTGCACCACTTTGAAACCATTAGAAACCATTATTTGTTGTTTTTTACAGGGGAATCATCATTCCAGGGATTTTTACGTGGTGCAGGATTTCGTCCATCTACAGTAGGTCAAAACCAATGGGATCCCATTTTGGGGTAGGTGCACCACCCATTTTAGTCTATTTTGGTGGGGGATTGGGATGTTCACTGAGTGTACGGTTCTGCTTGAAAGGAGACCTCCTGGAAGACAACATTCCTCTACTAGGTCCTCCAGTAGAGAGGTTTTCTCTGTAGCCTATGTTGGAAAATTCCCCTTGTAAACTAGACTAAACGAAAAAGGGTACCCTTATTCCAACCTCTTTGCTGGAGGACCTAGTTAATCAATCCCTGTTTATTACTATGGGGGTGTTCCACTCCACAAGTGGTCTGAATCCCTACTAAAATCAGGGGGACTCTCCCTATGAATAAACACGGGTTTGTAATCTGAGGTCAACATCATGAAGTTACGACATGCGACTGCACCAACAGCCGAAAATGAACTAGGTCCCCCGGTGGTGCCTTTTACCCTTTTTTGGGGGGAGGGTTCCCCTACCAACATAGACTACAGAAAAAAATGGTACCCTTATTCTAACCCCTCTACTGGAGGGCCTAGTAGAGGAATGTGGTCTTTCAGGAGGTCTCCTTTCAAGCAGAACGGACCCGCTGGACGGCTTGAGATACAGCAGGAAGCAAACGACGCGGAAATTTGGTGCATCCACAGGGGCCATGTTTTTGCTTGTTCTGGGTAAACTAAATGTGTTTGCCCCCGAGTAGGCCATGGCTTTTTCCCACCTCACTCGCGGCTGCTTGGCGATTTTTCTCGCAGGCGGCAGAGGTGGCTAGCCTCGAAGCGCCAACGGGGCAGTGACTCTTTTGCGACTCGGCCAGCGGTTTCGGGCTTCAGGGGTAGGGTTTGACTCAATGTATCTAGGTCCGCCAGTGCCCTTTCTTAGCCCTTTGTTGGAAGAGGGTTGTCCTACTAAAATAGACTACAGAAAGAAGGGTACCCTTATTCTACCCTCTCTACTCAAGGACCTAGCTGTTGGTGACGAAAAGGGCAGCAAGAGACCTTGCCATAGCCTCTCTCTCAAACAAGGAAAGCAGGGCAGGAATCTACATGCCGGTTTGCGGGGAGTTCTTTGTGATTGGCAACCTGGCGTACGACAATTGATGGCTGCCAGGCACTTGAAACAATGCACATGGAAGCTCAGAGGTTGTTTGAATGCCATGTAAGGTTCCAACCATGTGGCTAGGTGCCCGCGTTAAAAAAAAAAAAAAACAATGGATAGCCACATTTCCCAGTGGGATACCCCTGGTACCTGCCCTGGGGATCCCTGGGGCACGTGTGATTTTTTGCCCGCAGATGCCATGCCATGCAGCACCCGGGGACCGCGGGCTGAGGCCTTGGAGCGAGTGGCCTACCAGTCTGGACTGATCAGCGCCCGCCAAGGAAATTGCTGGAAATCCGATGGCGACCCAAAAAGAAGGCGACCTGGAAAAGAATGGGCGAGCAATTTTGCGAAGCTCATGCACCATGATTCAATGCGAACGCATTTTCACCCACTCACGATTTGCAAGAAGATTCCTTCAAAAGGGCCCCTGCTTACCTCCAGGCGTTCGCTGCACTCCGTTGGTCACTGGAGGGAGCAACTTCCCTGCAGCATGTTGGCACCGAAACCGCAGTTTCACTATTGACTCTCGATGAGTAGCTCGTGGCCAGCTTCGGCTTAAATCGGCGGCTGTGCCAATGTCGCACGGGGTGTTACACAAAGGAGGGTACGTTGATGAGTTTGGTACTTCAAGTCTCGCAATGCGCGATGGGAAGACCCGGAGCGAGACATATGCCTTGAACCTTTGGTTTGGCAAGCTACGATGATATGGTTCAACAGCTCATGGATCTCTTCTGCCCATGTCCGTATCGACCCTGGGCGCCGCTGATGCAAGGCCCTTGACCCAGAATTCGATCCCACGGCAAGGCCAGTGCATGGGACTCAATGTCTGCAGCCTGGCAAACTTTGGCGGGGCAAGTTGACGCGTTGGCTTTCACCTTTGAAAATTGGGTTTTGTTTCTGGGTTGCCCAGAAAAGTAATTAGGTAGACAAGCACTCGTCAATCAGTATTGAGCTTGCTCCTTGAAGCCAAGGTTGCAAACAAAAATGGCGTTTCCGAACTGGCAAGAAAACACACAACTGCTGAAAAAAGCAATCAACATAGCCTGTCCGTGGGGGAACTTGGCTTTTTTGTGGTGCTTCAGGCTTATCGGAACGCAAGCAATACTGTAAGAATACTGTGTTTGTCTCCCGTCCCAGTGGCCGGGGTCGACACGCAAGGGCTGGTGTGGGCCAAAGCTCCCCGCGTGGAAAAGACGGAGAGTGTGCAGAATGCGAGACAGAAAAGGTGCGTGGAAGAGAAGTCCCCAGGCAGAAAGATATTTAACTTATGTTCTGCGTGTAAACAGAATTTGACATATGTATACACATACATTTATATACATAGACATATGTATGTATATAGATATGGGGTTGTCCTTTTTTGGTGTGTTGAGTTGCTTCAAAAGGCAGAAGGTGGGACCTCCCCGAATCATACCCCCGAATCATACCCCCGAATCATACCCCGAATCATACCCCCGAATCATACCCCTTAGAACGTATGCTGCAAGATGCTACTGTTCTTCTACCGTTTTGTGTTGTTCACTGTCTCCACAACAACCACCACCAGCGCTACCCAATACTACCACTACCACTGCCACTACTACTACTACTACTACGACTACTACTACTACTACTACTATTACTACTACTGCTACTACTGCTACTACCGCAACTACGAGTATTACTACCACTACCACCGCTACACTACCACCGCTACTACCGCTGCTACTACTACTCTACTGCTTCTACTTCTGCTTCTGCTACCCTTACTACTAACTACTACGACTACAACCTTGACTACTACTACTACTACTACTACTACTACTACTACTACGACTACTACCTTTATTACTACTACTACTACTACTACTACTACTACTACTACTACTACTACTACTACTTCTACTACTACTTCTACTGCTACTATTCCTGCTTCTGCTGGTGCTGCTACTACTCACCACTACCACATACATCATTCTGAGTCTGTAATCAGTGCCGTTTTGCACCTAGGCGAATCATACCCGCGAATCATACCCGAATCATACCCGGACAATGAGCTTCCCCTGCCAAGGCTAGTGCTAAGTCTTTTTCACAGCGTCCGCACCACTACAGCCGCTGCTGCTTATGCTACAGCTGCTACCACTACTTCTGCAACTGCTGCTACTACTACTACTACTACTACTACCACTACTACTGCTACTACTACTACTACTACCACAGCTACTACGAGTTTGTAATCAGTACCGTTTTGCACCTAGCCGAATCATACCCGCGAATCATACCCGAATCATACCCGCGCAATGAGCTTGCCTTGCCAAGGCCAGCGCCAAGTCTTTTCAAAGCTTCCGCGCCACTACAGTCGCTGCTTCTTCTGTTACTACTGCTACTACTACTAGTACTACTACTACTACTCCTACTACTAGGACTATTGCTACTACTATTTGCTACTACTCCTACTACTGCTACTACTACTACAACAACTACTACTACTACTACTACTACTACTACTACTACTACTACTACTACTACTACTACTACTACTACTACTACTACTACTACTACTACTACTACTACTACTACTACTACTACTACTACTACTACTACTACTACTACTACTACTACTACTACTACTACTACTATTGTTACTACTACAATATTACTACTAGTACTACTACTTCGGCGACTACTGCTACTACTACTGCTGCTGCTGCTTCCGCGAATCATACCCCCGAATCATACCCCGAATCATACCCGCGAATCATACCTGCGAATCATACCCCGTACTCAAACCTTCCTGCCCGGCCACCCTAAAAAATACAAACCCATATAGATGTATCACGTTCATGTTTGTATGGGGAGGTTGTGATGACCCGTAAGCCGCAGCGCAAGCATCACTCATAGCAACTTCCCCAGATACATCAAGCATTTCCATTGGGCAAAGCATCTCAGGGTGCTGTGAAGGAAGTTGTGGGGCGCTTCTATTTGATTCCCCGCGCCTCGGTGTACTTGAGGCACTTTGGAACGGACGGCCAAAGCGGATCCCGCGCCCAGTCCATGCGAGCCCCGCCTTGGAACATCCCCTTGAGGGCTCAAACCATGAAGATCCCGCCACAGAATGCGATTCCTGAAAGCTCACAGGCGCAAGATCTGAGCCGTCTAGACTTTTCCTGTTGCCTACCAACAGGGTAGCAAACGGGCGGCACGTGGTGCAAGACGCTTCATGTGTTCTTCAGTTTGCGGTGCATGAAGACTTATGCGTACGGGATACAAATTGTTCACCTTGGAGAAACCATTTGACAGCCCATCCCCCAAAACGGCGAGCCCCGCATCCGAACACAGAAGCCTAGCTCTAGGTGCGTGGGCCTGTTTCGGGGTAAAAACTAATCCTGAGCCTTGGCGTTCTTGCCGTCCATGCCTAGCTTCACCAACTTGCGCCACCTGTCAAAACACCTTTGTTGAATCCTGGAGCTTCTTTGCAGAAGGAGATGCACAACTTGTACGGTTACGTCATGGCTATTTGGTTGGATCTGTTGACTTTAACTTTTTGGGAAGTGATATACATTTTGTCCATTGGACCCCCCCAGAAGTGATTCACTTTTAGCAAGGGAGCTGGTCGTTACAGCCACCAAGTCAACTTCTTATCCAGTTCAGGGAGTTTGGGCAGTCGGGTCTAGAGCTGGACGAGGGAGCTGGTCAGCAACTCATAGGCTTCACCTACCCCAGTTGAGCCACAATCAAAACCTGGGTAGATGAAGGTTAGTAAGGGACGGTCCCAACCATAAATAGCTGCGGATATTCCGCCTTCTTAGTTCTTGAAGCATGGCTCTGGGGGTGCACCATTTTGTGTACCGGGTTTTGAGCAAGTGACTCATTTCAATACCCTCCCTCCCCAGGTTCCCATGGCACCTGACAGGGACCCGGTCCCTTGAAGAGGAACATGATCTTCCAGGTGCCCTCTAGCAGTTGCTATGTTAGTGGGAGAGAGGGTATCATTTAATATCCGTTATGTTCTTGGCGATTTTCCAGGTGCCTCAGTTGCCACCCAGTTTTGAGCAAGTGACTCAGTCACGCGACCCAAGGCGTGTCCTCGCAGCACGTGGAGTTCTCCATGGGCCGCGTGGCCGCCAACAAGCCGGGCCCCAGACGGGAAAGCCGAGATGGGTTTGATGGCCCCCAAAGCGAAGGAACCTCCGGTCTGCGGGCTAAACCACGTGCCCCTGAGGCTCTGGGCAGGTACCCCTGGTATCGCACTGGGAAATATTGCTGTCCATTTATGTAACCATGTACCCCTGGGGTAGCTTCTGCGGTATTTTGCAGGGGCACCTAGGGGTACATTGGGACCTTAAACGGTCCGTGGTAAGTGGGGTACCCTTGAAAATGGTCGGGTCGCCCTGAAGGCCCTTTGGTGCGGAAGCCGCGTGCCGCACCCAGCTTCGCCGGCTCAAGCTCTGTGCTTGTTTCGCCCGCCAGTGCCGTCCATAGGGCCATCCTAGTCCGCTGTTTGTTGCATCAGCTGGTTTTTTCTTGGAAGCACCGACATGTTGACTTTTTGGCTTCTATCATTCACACCTCCGCGTTTGACAAAAATTGTGGAGCGGCTGCTTTTTTGTCAAAGCATGTTGGCAGACAAGACCGACATCTAGGTCCCCCAGTAGTGCCCTTTCTCTCCCCTTTTTGGGTTGGGAGGCTTCCCTTACTAAAATAGACAACACCGGAAAAAAAGCAACCGTACCAACTTACACTGACGAGTCTCTACTGGAGGACCCAGACAAGTACAGCCACCCAAGCACTCAACGAAGTGCTCAAGTTGCCACGCCCCTCGAAGTTCGCGTTTCCGCGGCGCGGCGGCCATGGGCGGAGAGGCATCCAAGGAGCTTTCCTTTTTCTCCCTGTAAGAACCCACACCCAAAAGAACAAACTCTACCGCTGGGTTGGATCTGTAGACTTTAACTTTTCGGATTCCCTTCATGTTTCCTTGCTAGCAGCAAAAAGTTGAACTTTTTGCTCGGGGATCTACAGCACATTAAGAAAAAACAATTTGTGCGGTGGATGCCCTATTGCAAGAAGGGGAACCGGGGAGCTCCCTAATTTGCAGTACTTTCCAATAGTGTTGTGAGTGTGGTTGGTTTACTTGCAAAATTTGGGCATCCACCGTATCATTAAAAAGAGACACCCACATCCAAGACCTCCCTGTCCAGTGCCAAGGTCGGGTATATCTCCTGAAGGCTTTGCTCTGTCCAAATGGGGCAACTCCTTTTTAGAAGGTTTGCAACAACAATGCCGTTGAATTGACAAGGGTTACAAAAAGGCTCGGGGCTTGCTGGAAGCTCCCCCGCAGCCCATTGAGCCATGCTGACCAACGTGGCATGTTAGACCGCAAGGTGGGTTACTAAATCAGGGTTCGCAACTGGATTCTCAGCAAAGGAGGGAAGGAGCCCTATCAACTATAAACCATCCCCTACTGGGTACCCCAGTAGTGTCCTTTCACCTTTTTTTGGGGGGAGGGTTCCCCTACCAAAATAGACTACAGAAAAAAGTTGGTGCCCTTATTCTAACCTCCCTACTGGAGGACCTAGCCTATGGTTTCCTTTCCACCGGAATCCCCAAAGGGTGCATTCAACCCACACCCTGACTCGTTGTCATTCCCCTATCACAGCAGCCGGAAACGCCGCAAGCCCAGCGGCGAACCTCGAAGTTCCCCCATGCCTCTTGTTTTCCATTTGCGGGGGGAAAAGAAGAGGAGAGTTCATAGGATCTGCACAAAACAGAAGACCCCTTGTTTGGGCATCTTCGGGGACACCACTCAGACATGAATAATTGAATGTTTTTGCACCCCCCCCGTTTGGGCATCGGGGAGGCCGGTCAGGGGAGATGAACCTTTGAATCTTTCTGCACCCAGCTGAGCTGTTTTGTGGGGCCTCGGCATCCAACAGGAGCTGCGGCAACCATATCCAAGCCACTGGGGCACTTCCAGCCAGGGACCCAATGCGGCACTGAGGCCACAAAAGGCAACAACGGATGCCTCGGGTTCAGGGCAGCCGGTAAGACACCAGACCCCCCATCCTTTTGCGCAAATCTTTTGGAGAGTGAAACCCTGCATTGCGCTCGTTTCCATTTATTCCACGGGCCCCGATCGTGTCCTTTTACGCAAGCTGTTAGAAAGTTAAACCCTGTTCTACTTGCTTCTAGTTAAGACATAGCGTTTACTTCACTGGGACATCACTCATGGCCAAAACATGAAGTCCACCACCTCGGCCTGCATTCTGGCAGAGCGGGTGACGTTCCAAGCATGGCATGGCAAATGGAACCGGGTCGGGCGTTGGCCAGCAAAAGTGCTCAGGCATCTATGGTTTCTTGTCGCGAAAGCGCCACGATATTGCGAAAATGGCATTTTTTGGAGCAGACTACTTTGCACACTTGCCATTGGACATGTTGGATTTCCAAATGGCTTATCCGGGCGGCCTGCTGATCAGAAAGGATATAAACCGTGCTTAAAAAGCAAATCACGTGAAGAATTGCACTGCATGACCCAAATACGGAAATACGTGAAGCTCCAACAGTACCACACCTTTAGAACCTGGCTCAACCTCCAAACGACCACAGCCAACCAATTTCCGGCCACCTTCCGACCACCTTCCGACCACGCTCTGACCACCTCCAACCACCCCCCGACCACCTTCCGACCACTCTCCGACCACCTCCGACCACCCCCCAACCACCTCCGACCACCTCCCGACCACCTCCCGACCACCTCCGACCACCTCCCGACCACCTCCCGACCACCTCCCGACCAGCCTTCAACCACGCAAGGCCACAGTGACGGGAACACGCCCAAAACATGCCAAGTTCGCCGTTTGGGGCTACATTTAAGGAAAAGTGGGATTGAGCTTCCTAATAAGGAATTTGGAAATCCAACAATTGGACAGTTATTTTCCCAAGGCTGGGACTCCTGGACATGAGTAAGGAGAACCGTGCTGTTGGCTTCCAAAAAAGAATTGCTCGCAACTGCTGGCCTCATTTTCTTACCATGATCAAAGTCACCCCGTAAGTGGTGGGTTAAAGAGTGATAACCCCCAGAATCCGTTCAAAACAATGACCCCAGAACTTCCCCAGAATTAGCTCCCCGAAATTGGTTTGCTTTTTTTGGGGTCCCTTTGTTTTCCACCAACCAGGGAAAAATATATATTTTGCTGGGGTCCTAATTCCAGCCTAGACAAACGTCGACACCGTTTCGGCCAGGTCCTGCAGAGGCCGAGGGCTCGGGGGCGATGGATATTGATGGCTTCAAGACTAGGTCCCCCAGCTAGGTGCCCGCTCTTTGACCCCTTTTTTGGTTGGGAGGCTTCCCCTAAAGTAGACTACAGAAAAAAGTTGGCACCCTTATTCTAACCTCTCTACTGGAGAACCTAGAAGACAATGCGGGTTAGATACTATAGGGACATTTGAGAGGAGTTTCAGCCACTAAACCAACTAACAGATGCAAAAAGCCCAGGAACCGGATGGCTTTTGGAACCACCAAGGGAATAAACCCCAAATCTCTTCTTGCTGAGTAGGGAAGGGCAAGGAGCTTGGTTCACTAAACCAGTCTTGGGCATTCCCGAAGAAAAGAGGCCAGAGGATGCGGATTTTCTTTCTCTTTCCCTGAGAGGCAAGGTCTTGAAGTGAAGCATGCCGTTGACACAGACACATGGGATGTTCAGTGTGCAAACCGGTCAAGGAACAAACCGGAAGGGCCGTTTCAACAAGTAGACAACGCCAGCTGAGCTGGAAGCGATCGTATCTCAACCAACACGAAGGCACACCTTGGCATACAGGCTCCGTGGACAAATGAATTGAACGGTCGCAATCTGAACGGCTCTGTAAGAAGGCCATGTGTCCCTGAATCAGCCAAGCAGCATTGAGAGCAGGCTGCCTGCAATGAGTGCAACTTGTTTGTCATGTCTGGGGCTAGGATGCCCAGTCCAATCTCATTTTAATTGGGGGAGAGGGGAAGGAGAGAGGAAAGACGAGAGAGGAGAGAGAGAGAGAGAGAGCGAGAGAGAGAGAGAGAGAGAGAGAGAGAAAGAAAAAGAAGAAGAAAGCGAGAGCATTGCTGGTTGCATGCAGCCAGAGCACAAAACACTTTCTGCAGCAAAAGCGTTAGATGCCGCTTCGCCGCTTCCTTTGGTGCAACAAGCACCCTGAAAACTGAATTTTCTTGGTGGCTCCCAGCCATCCCCTTAGCTTTTTAGCTTTTTAGCTTTTTAGTGTTTAGTGGGTATTTCCATTTAACCCACCAAAAGTTAAACTTTTACCAGGGGATCTGAAAACGGACAGCCCAGTTTTGTTCCCGGGGATTGCGCCCTTACGGGCCGCACAGCGCCCCTGTCAGGTGGTGAAAGCCGTGGACTCCGTCGCAGGCGACACTCAGAAGTTTGTGGCCATCGAGGCGCCTCTTCAGGACATGAGTTGGTTTCTAGGTCGTCCAGTGCCCTTTTTCCAACTTTTTGGTTGGGAGGGTTCCCCTAAAAGAGACTGCAGAAAATAGGGTACCCTTATTCGAACCTCTCTGCTGGAGGACCTAGTTTTTCTCGCTTGTCCAAAGCGAATCGACCCGGTTTGACCCTTCTGTGTTAAAGAACCCCCCCCCCCCCAAAAAAAAAAACGACAAGAGAGTCCATGCTGGCCCCAAGAGACCTATGGAGTTTTTGCCTCAAGTTCCCAAACAGTGTCAAAGCAGGTCCGTTTTCAGGCGGTTTGTCTTGCTGAGTCCCCGTTAAAGGGACACCGACAGGACACGCGCCAAAATAATGGGTCCATTCTGGGTATCCGGGCATCCCTATTTTGAGAGACGCCCACACCAGGAGCTCTCCAAGGAGCTGTGGCGTTTCGAGGACTTCCTGGACTATGCGCCTCGGTGTGTGTTGTTTGTTTTCCGTGTTGTTTTCCCTGCTGTTTTTTTTTTTTTTCTTGTTACCTTTTTGCTAACTGATGGGTTTTCCATTAAACCACTAAAAGTTAAACTTTTAGCAGGGGAGCAGAAAGCAACCAAGCTTAGTTTGGTCATGTTTGTTCTGTTTTTCAGCCAACTGAGCAACTTGCTGAACCGCGAAAACCTGGGTAGGGTTCCCAACCAAAAATGGTGCCTTCGCTCGCCGATTTTAGTTCGTTTGACGCGCGGTTCAGGGGCCGGGTCACCATTGCGTTCTCGGCAGGGAAGGAAAACCGTCCCACTGGTGGGCAATTCTTCTTTTCTTTTTTTGGGGCACCCCCGGGCCTGGGTTGATTCCATTTCACCCATCTCTCTCGTGGTTTCAGGATGTTTTCGGGGGCCAAATCAAATGGGTTCAATCCATTTCACCTATCTCTCTCGTGGTTTCAGTTTTTTCCCTCGGGGACCAAATCAAATGGGTTCACCCTCTCTCTCGTGGTTTCAGTTTTTTTCTCCCGGGGACCAAATCAAATGGGTTTACGCATCTCTCTCGTGGTTTCAGGATGTTTTCGGGGACCAAATCAAATGGGTTCAATCCATTTCACCTATCTCTCTCGTGGTTTCAGGAGTTTTTCCGGGACCAAATCAAATGGGCTCAATCCATTTTGCCTATATCTCTCGTGGTTTCAGCATTTTGTTCGGGAACCACATCAAATGGGTTCAATCCATTTCACCTATCTCTCTCGAAATTTCAGGATTTTTTTTCGGGGACCACGTCAAATGGGTTCAATCCATTTCACCTATCTCTCTCGTGGTTTCTTTTCTCTTTTTTTCAGGGACCAAATCAAATGGGTTCAACTCATTTCACCTATCTCTCTCGTGGTTTCAGGATGTTTTCGGGCACCAAATCAAATGGGTTCAATCCATTTCACCCATCTTTCTTCACCTATCTCTCTTGTGGTTTCAATACTTCTTCGGGGACCAAATCAAATGGGTTCAATCATCGCACATTCTTCGCACTCCATGGTTCAATCGGTTCAATCACCATGTCACCTTCCCTATCGCACTTTCGCAAGGAGACTGCAAGTTCCATCGCGCATTCGCAGATTCGCCAGTTCCGAGGCCCAGGAATGCTTGGCGATTCACCCCCCGCTCCAGAAACATGTGGATCGCCTGGTGCCGCGGAAGATGCTGGAGCCCGAGTTCTGGCGCGCCTCGGCCTGAAGTCGTCGGCTCGTGTTCGGCTCCATGGGGCTTTTTTTTTCCATTGGAAGAGGGCGTCCCACCCAGCCGAAAAATGCGCGTAGATCTAGTTGCGTAGATATAAGTTATTTTCTCAGGAATCCAGATGCAAATGCGGGTAGCTCAAATACATCTATTTGCACAGATACAATGTCTCATTCTTTTCCCAGTTCTCAGTTGCCCAAAACGAATCGACCGGATCTTTGGTTTTTCAGTTTTGTTCCATATCTTGGCATGGCCCCGAAAGGTAACCTTTGTTTTCTGGGTGCTTTGGGCAAGTGAGTATGTCAACTTCACTTGCAGGCGCGCTTGCTGAGCTCACCGGGAGTACTCAGCGCAAACCAAATATCAAGGCTACGGGGATGCGTGTGGGAGGCCGTCCTTTTTCTTCAGCATGCGATCTCAGTTGAGTGCCAACGACAAGTGCATTGATATTGCCAACTCGCATGGAAGATGGCAGGAAGTTGATAGACTGAGTGCGTTCCTATCATGTTCAGGCCCGCCAGAGTGGCTGCAACATTTGTTGCCGAATGGTTCAACGGCACCACCTTCCCCGTGTTTCGCAGCGGGTTCCTTTATTGGTTCCTAGTTTCTTCACGGCCACGCAGCTAGGCCTCCAGCCAACTCTCGCGACAATTTCTTGCGAGGCTCTTCACATCTGGTCCCACAGCTTTCCAACATCAGGTGCCCACAGCTTTCTCTTGGGTCGATTTTTGTGAGGAACGGACGACAGCTCGTCTGCCGGGGGGCGTGCTGGTTGGGAGCCTGCGAAGCTTCTTCTGCTAAGCTGAGGCCTCTTCTTCTGCCACCTCTACATGGGCCTCAAAGGTGTGAAAGCTCCCCCAGCAGAGGCGTGGCTTTACCGACCTCTTTTCGCAGACGATGGTCTGTTTGCATCGGAATTTGGGCAGCGAGGAGGGCCCTACCTGAAAGTTGCTTGCACGTTTCTCACAGGGAGATCTCCGCAAGGTTGACATGGAACCCCGGGTCCAGCTCATGGACCCACTTTTGAAGTCAAACTCAACTTGAGAAAATGAGGCAAACGGGAACCAGCGTGTTCAAGACCGCCGGCAAATCTGAAGACCATGGACATTCAACGCGATAACTTGTCAGTGTCAACTTCTGGTAGACCATGCTATTTGGCTTGCAAGCGGCGGTGCGGCCCATGTTGTCTCGAGCCTTAGTGGATCTATAACTTTGCAATCTGTTTTGCCAGCACTTGCGAAGTGTTGACTTCCTTCCCGGACAAAATCTCTGAACCGTTTGTACACCCCGTATGCGCACGGGGCCCATTGGTGTTCCATCGGGGCATGCGCTCCAGGAGCACGGACTCGAAATGGTCCAATGAAGGGCCTAGCGTGGAGTCAGAATACCATTTGCATATAGGTTACAGAAGGTGAACTAGGTCCCCCAGTAGTGCCCTTTCTCACCCCTTTGTTGGGGGAGGGTTCCCCTAAAATAGACTACAGAAAAAAAAAGTTGGCACCATTATTCTAACCTCTCTACTGGAGGACCTAGTGAAATTAGCACTGGCCGATGCAACCCATATCCAATAACTCAGTATCGGGCGACTTGAACACCCGACCTCCCGCCTGCCAGGTCTTGACGAAAGAGCTTCTGGCAGAAGCCTCTGACGCAACGTCCAACGCCATCATCGTTGCGTTCAAGGAAGCATTTGTCTTGACTGCTATTCGGTTGGATTGTTAGACTTTAACTTTTGGGGAAATCAAGGCGGTTTCCACTAACCCCCCAAAAAGTTAAACTTTTTGCAGAGGGGTCAACAGCAACCAAGTTGTGAGTTCGGCGGTGTTCGGCATGTTCATTTTATGAATCCCTGACTCGGCCCATGTGCTACGGGGCATTCCCATTGTGTGGCCCGCCCTGGCCGAGAGGTTGTCAAAGAGGCTGATCGTCCAGTGTCCGTTGCTCGTGGCGGCTTTGTTGTTAGGCCATTCGCCATGTTCGGGATGGAGCTTTGCATGCTTCTGCCCACCATCCAGTTGTGTCCAAAACGGCAGACGCAGCGAGTTTGCCAGACGACCAGTGCCTGGCATAGAGCTCCAGGGAAAGGGCCACCATGACCGGAAATAGAAGTCTACTCAGAGAAAACAAGGTGTAAGGTGAGTACCAAATGGTTTGCCCTCATATTTCTGCAGACCACTTGGTGAAAATGCAGGCTCCACTGTCTCACGCAGGATTCGGCCACCTTCGGAATCCTTTCGCAAAATGAGACGGAGGCTGTCCTGCTGCGGGACGCAGAGGACGCAGACAAGCTGGCTGCAGGCATCGCCAAGGCCGTGTCCAAGGGTGTACTGGAAGAAGCTCCGTCCGTGGAGCCAACGCGAAAGATCGACGTTCTCGGGAAGAGCGCAGATGCAGTAGCAGAAGAAATCATTGGAGCCCTAGGCAGCGCGGCGAAGTCTGGCTGCATTCTTGTTCTTACTGGCCTCAGCGGGACGGGCAAAGGAACAACCGTCTCCAAATTGCAGGCAGCGTTGCCCAACGCGGCAAGCTGGTCCAACGGAAATATTTTCCGGGCACTGACACTGCTGGCAGTGACCCATTGCGAGAAGTCTGGTGTGGCTTTCAGCGTGGACGTGCTGACGCCGGAGTTGCTGCAAACGTTGATGTCATACCTAGAGTTCGGCAAGTTCAACGGCTGCTTTGACACCAAGATTGCAGGCTATGGCTATGAGTATTTGGTGTCCGAGGTGGCCAACACTGTGCTGAAAGAGCCCAAAGTCAGCAAGAACATCCCCACGGTAGCTGAGATGACGCAGGGGGAGGTGGTTCAGTTTGCCGCCAAGGCAGCTGAGCAGATGCGAGCGGACGGTATGAATGTTCTGATGGAGGGCCGCTCTCAGACGCTGGACTACATCCGAACCCCATACCGCTTCGAACTCACTCTGTTCGAGCCCATCGTCATCGGCATGCGCCGCGCTGCGCAGCGCATGATGGGTTTGGCGCTGGAGGACTCCAAGAAGAGCCCATCGGCCTACGCGACACCGGCCGAGGTGGAGACAGCTTTGCGCACAGCCCTTGCCCGCATCCTGGCCTCCGCCGTTGCGCAGGACACCTTCGGCATGGCGGCCCCTCTCACGAGCGAGCTGTTGGAGCAAGGGGATGACTTGTCCACCAACTCGATCATTGCGACCTTCCTGGCAGATCCCGAATCTCACATATCAAATGCGCAAAGCAAGGCTTTGGGTCTTTGGCTTTCATGTTTCGCATGCGTTTTGTACTGGATCTGGTAAAAGGGAGGCCTTCCGGGAACGCCCTTGCCCCCTCACAAGAAAAGTTTCATTTGACAGACGTACGCTTCGCTTTGCCCTTGCACAAAGCGATTGAACATGTTTCTGTTCAACACGCGCTTCGGGTTGAAGGTTCCTTGGCCCCCGGTTTGCACGACCGGTTCTGGAAAGAAATGATGGTCATCAAGAAAGGGGGTCTATGAAACCGACCATAGGTTACGCAGCTCCTGTGAAACAATCAGGATTTTGTGGCGCTCTCCTTCAATGAGACGGAGGCTGTCCTGCAGCGGGACGCAGAGGACGCAAACAAGCTGGCTGCAGGCATCGCCAAGGCCGTGTCCAAGGGTGTACTGGAAGAAGTTCCGTCCGTGGAGCCAACGCGAAAGATCGACGTTCTCGGGAAGAGCGCAGATGCAGTAGCAGAAGAAATCATTGGAGCCCTAGGCAGCGCGGCGAAGTCTGGCTGCATTCTTGTTCTTACTGGCCTCAGCGGGACGGGCAAAGGAACAACCGTCTCCAAATTGCAGGCAGCGTTGCCCAACGCGGCAAGCTGGTCCAACGGAAATATTTTCCGGGCACTGACACTGCTGGCAGTGACCCATTGCGAGAAGTCTGGTGTGGCTTTCAGCGTGGACGTGCTGACGCCGGAGTTGCTGCAATCGTTGATGTCATACCTAGAGTTCGGCAAGTTCAACGGCTGCTTCGACACCAAGATTGCAGGCTATGGCTATGAGTGTTTGGTGTCCGAGGTGGCCAACACTGTGCTGAAAGAGCCCAAAGTCAGCAAGAACATCCCCACGGTAGCTGAGATGACGCAGGGGGAGGTGGCTCAGTTTGCCGCCAAGGCAGCTGAGCAGATGCGAGCGGACGGTATGAATGTTCTGATGGAGGGCCGCTCTCAGACGCTGGACTACATCCGAACCCCGCACCGCTTCGAACTCACTTTGCCCGAGCCCATCATTATTGGCATTTGGGCCTGTCCAGTGGTTGCTTTGTGGCTTCGCGCTGTCGTGTTCATTATTTGCTCTTTTGCATTTGGTCCCTGTCGAAGCTTCGTTCCACACGCCGCCCAGACCTCTTCCATGTAGAAGCGGCGGCAATCTCTCAAAAGCCATGCAAAAGTTGTTTGCTGGCAGGCAGCTCCCAGGGCTGTTTGTGGCATCCTCTTGCCCAAACCTTAGCCAGACACAACGCCTTGTCCCTGGAAGCCTTGTTTCTCCTCCAGTCCGCGAAAGGCTGTGTTCCATGGGTACCTGCCCCAGGTTGCCCCAAAGATCCTTCTTTCTAGAAATCCTCCGGAACCTCAGGAAACGGCTTTTGAAAAGAACTATGGTTAACAAGAATGGTTGGAATCGACCCCGTGTGATTGTTGGGGTGGGGTATTTTTCCCTAGGTCCCCCAGTAGCGCCCTTTCTCACCCCTTTGTTTGGTTGGGAGGGTTCCGCTACTAAGATAGATTATACAGAAAAAAGGTAGTACCCTTTTCTAACTTCTCAAATTTGCAACAACCAAATTCCTTGAGATCACTCGAGGCATGCGCCGCGCAGCCCAGCGGATGATGGGCGCCGCGCTGGAGGACCTGCGCCGCGGAAGCGCCGGCGGGACGCCCGGTGCGCTGCGAGGGGCCCTGGGCCGGATGCTGCACCCAGGCGTGGACTTCTGTTTTTGTCACGCGAGCGCGAGGAAGGGTCGGGTGCTGCACTAGCTCTGGGCGGATCCGCGAGTTGGTCCTTGTTGGATATTGGTAGTACCATAAGGATTTGGCGAGCACCATTTTTTAGCAGCCCACTATGTTGAGCAACCGAGTTTAAGCCCTGTGCGTCTGGGTTTCTGGGCCTTCTCTCAGGCATGGCCCAATGAGATCATGTGCGCTGCATCCGGACCCATGGGTGGCACCCTTTCGCTGAAAGGACGGCGTAGAATTCCCCCTGGCCATCTTGAATTCTTTGATTGCCCAGTGGCCTTGTTTGTACCCGGGTTTGTAAGACTAACAATGTTGGGTGGTGCATGGACCCCGGAATAGCTCAAGTTCGGAGATTGTTACTCCATACGTAGCTTGTTCAAAACCTAATCTTCAATGATTAGCGGATTGCGGGTTGTGCGGTTTACGGATTAGATTGTGCGGCTTGCGGATTACGGATTATGGGTTGCATGGATTTCCCATACTCCAACGCACGGCGTTGACCCACAATTGCACGGAATACGGATTGAGAAGATTGCCAACCAAAACAAGGATTAAGTGGATTACGGATTGTGAATAGGCCCCCATGGATTTCGAACAGGCTAGCATATGAAACTTGTGGCTTTAAACAGCTCTATTTGCTTCAAGCCCGCTTGTTGCCAGGCGATGGCATCTGACCCGGCGACTGAAGCAGCTAAGAGCTTTGCGTGCGCAAAGCGGTTCCTTGGGGCAAACTTCCCCGAGGTTTGTGCGCGGGGCTCGACCAATTGGATAAATCGATGGCTGGCAGTTGCCTTCCAAGGCAAGCGGTGTGTCATTGCACCCGAGGGGAGCGAACCAGGTATGCTGTGCCTGTTTGGGGGAGCCAACCAGGTTGTATGCAAGTTATCACCCAAATGATTTGTGAAAAATACTCTCCAAAAACAGCCATCAGCAAACAGGGCCCCTGGTCGAGAGCTGAGTCAGAGATGCGGCATTGCCGTTTTGGGTCAAGGAACGAGGGGTGCCCAGTGGCACGCATGACTCTGACATCGCCAATGTAAGGGAAACCAGGCACGCCAGGCACGCCAGGCACGCCATGCGCAGAGCGATAGGACCGATCAGCTGGGACCAAGCTTAGCACCCATATTCAACTCACCTTGCGAGGCGCACAGCAGTTGCCTCACACGGATCGTGTTGCCACGCGGTCGCCTGCCCTTTTCAACGCTCACAGGTGTGCAAAGCTGGTTTTCTGAAGTTTCCAGTTCCAGTTGTTCGTGAAATGGGTAAAAGTAGGTTAAACCAACTATGTTGTTTGTGGCCAACTGGGTAAAAGGAGATTGCCAACAAGTCTACACAAAGCATGGTTACAGCGGGCGCTATGCCGTTCATGTGCGTTGCATGCTCGGTGCCTGGGCTGCAAGGATCTTCAACTGCCGGGTGGTTTTTTCCACGTCGTATGGTGCTTGCTCATGAGATAAATGACTAGGTCCCCCAGCTAGGTGCCCACTCGTTCACCCCTTTTTTGGTTGGGAGGGTTCCCCTACTAAAAATAGACTGCAGAGAAAAAAGGGTACCCTTATTCTAACCTCTCTACTGGAGGACCTAGCATTACTATGGGATTTGTTCGATTGGACGAAAACGCAAAGGAGGCAATTCGGCTGCAAATCCCACGTCAAGTGTTTGAGCTCCAAGCCAGTTACAGAAGTTGAGCCTGCCAGGAACCCTCAGCTCATTGCCTCATTGCTACATGAGGATTGGTGAAAAGGAAGTGTCGCATGTTTTGCACTTGGGTACCCTTAGTGGTTGCTTTTATCGCGGCCACAAAAGTGTTCAGCGAGCGCATCCCCGTTTTGAACCTGATTCGGCAAGACTGTTGCCAAACACAACCAGCAATGAACAGTGTTCCTCCCCTTCATGTGGTTGCGGAACGCTTAATGTCACCCAACTGTTTACGCCCGTCACAAAGCCCAGCAGTTTGCTGTTCCATCGCATCCTTTTTGGTGATCATCTGGTTTCGTATCCCTTTCCTTGCTGTCCTCGGGTTTCCCCCAGAAAGCAATCCAGAGCGATCCAAGTTGAAACTGCTTGACCGAGGCATTGGCACCAGCTCGGGCAGGCTGGAACCACTGAGTTGTTTTTTCTTGGTCCCCCGGCTAGGTGCCCTTTCTCACACTTGTTTGGTTGGGAGGAGTCCCCTACTAAAATAGACTTACAGAAAACAAATGGTACCCTTATTCTAACCTCTCTACTGGAGGACCAGCAGCTCTAAGTCTAGCAAGAAGCATTTCTTGTCATGTTCCGTGATGCCACAGGGAGGATACCGCGCAATACGGAGCCGTGAGCTGTCCTCATGCCACTCGCGACAAGAGGGGCATCGATCCATCAGCTTTCGGGGCTAGCCCCGACGGTTTCGGACAGCCGGTGCTCTCGTGTGACCAGGTGAAAATCCAGATGCCATGGGGAACTGCTGGAGTTTCGTGGAAGCCCTTGATGTTTGCAACCATACGTATGTTGGCATTCTAGGCAACCTAAATGATGAGTTCTTAGTAACTTAATGTCTCTAAAGCGCGCTTGCACATGCGGCAATCTGCCTTGGAACGTCAAACTCACCCTGTGGTAAAGCTCGTTTCCTGGCGACCCTCACCTTTTCACGGGTCAAATGCTAAGTTGAAGCAGGTGGGTTCGCGGGAAATGGCATGCATATTATCTGAAATTGCAACGTCCGTTTCAGCCTGCCCTTCCTTCCCCTGAAGTGTGGACTGCCCCAACCCAGGTTCACACAATTCGCTGAAGAGCCTGAGCTCAGAAGTGCCAACCTTTCCAAAAGGAATGACAGCAACAGACAAGTCTTCGATCGGCCTTCCCTTCGCGCCTGCTCGCTCCAAAAGCACCAGTCAGGCGCGCGGCGCGCCGCCCGTGCCCCTCCCGCGCGGGCGGAGCCCGCGCGCGCCGCACGCGCTTTTCCGCGCGGGAGGGAGGCGGAGTGGCGAGCGGCGGCCTGGGGCTTGGAGAAGGGTTGGTGGGCAAGTCAACGCAATTTCGTGAGGGAAAGTGTGCATTCTAGGTCCCCTTTACCAATTTTTGGGAGGGTTGCCCTACTAAAACAGACGACAAAAAAAGGTACTCTTGTTCTAACCTCTCTACTGCAGGACCTAGCATTGCATCCCGGGAATCAACCAGTTGTTTTCAATTTCTGGGTCGGCATGATCTTCCATCGGCGTTTCGGATTTTTGCGGTTTTTTACTTTCCCCGGTTGAGTACTGGAAAGATGTTTCCCAGAGAGCTTAGACAAATGGAAGGAAGCCACTTTGTTCCTGAGCATTCGCCTTTGCGTTGTTTGCGCAGTGTCTGTTCGGCGCAGCGATTTGTTGAGGTTGAGTAAGATCCTGAGTGGGAATTGTTGATCTTCGCGGCTTAGACCAAGTTTGATAGGTCTCAGTCTCGAGGAGGCCAAGTCACTCCAACATGCCGGTCTGCAGGCAAAACTGGGCAGGGCTTGGGTGAGCCCTGGACTGGTCATTTGGGTGGCTTCGGTGTTCCTTCAATATTGACTGGGCGAATCATAGCGGCTCGTGAATGCTTTGAACTTACCCGGGTATCAAGATGCGCCATGCTCCGTCCAGTGCCAGCAAGCAAGCCGGATACGACTCAGACCTTGCAATATCCGTTTCGTTTTTTGCCGATTAAAGAACATGTTGAAGAGGATTGCAGCAAAGGTTCCCAAGATTGGAGAGGAACTGCACAAGTATTCATTGAGGCTTGTCCAGTTTGGTTTAAAAGAAAGTGGTAGCGGTTCTGTTTGAACTTCAAGTTTCTGCTTTCAGCTTCACGCGTGGCCGAGGCTTCCTCATTTGCGCTTCTGCCAATTGCCAAGGCACCGGGGGGGGAATCGCCCAGTTTCGCTGCAGACTGCAGCCGCATGCTGAATGCCCGCAGCTCTCCTGAGTGGGGAAAGACGGGGTGAGATGTCGGAGGCCTAACACGCCAGCCTGGCATTTCCTTCTCAAGTTTTTTGAGTTCTGTGTGTTGGACATTGGGCAGCCAGAGGCAGATTGCCACGGTTGACCGAAAAAAGGCAAACATGGTGCAGAACCACATCGACACGCTGGGCTGAGTGTGATGGAGTCGAAGCTACTAACAAGCATGTCCCTTTCGAAGCGCATTTGAAACGAATCTTCGATGACTGGAGCGAGATGGTGTCAAAGCGTACCATGTCGGAGACACCAATATTGTGCGAGTAGTTGCAGATGTCACCCTCCCACCAATTAACATGGAACCTGGCAGGGGGTCCCTGTGGGAAATGGTCTTCCCAGCCCCCCCGCTCAGCTTCCATGTTAATGGCGGGAGGTTGTCATACTTCGAAACTGCCTGTTCCCTCAACTAGATCCCCCAGTCTTGCCCTTTTTCCCTTTTTGGGGGGAGGGTTGCCCTACTAAAATAGACTACAGAAAAAAGGGGTACCCTTATTCTAACCTCTCTACTGGAGGACCTAGTCAAAGCAGGGACCAGTGGTTCTCTTCTTGCGCGTGCGCGCGCAGCCGCCATCCGCGCGCCGCCCCGGGCAGGCACGAGCGCGGCTGCACCAAGCGCGCCTGGTGCGTTTCGCGTCGGTGGCGAGAGATGCTGAGGACCGCCTTGCCATGAGCACAGCAAGGCTTGCCCACCTCGCTATGGGAGGCTTTGGATTTGGGAGGATTGGAGGGAAGCTGATATGGGTGTGGCTCAAAATTAAACAGGCGGGGCAAGCCGCAGGTGTTGGTACCCATGGTTCCACTTACCAGGGCAACCCATTTTGGAATTCCGGTTTTCTGAGCCACAGCCATATTTTGCTTTCCATTGACAGGCCGGATGGAGGGAAGCTAGCTGAGCTTTCAAAGTGCTTCTGCCCGCTCAAAAAACACACGGCTCAATTGGAGGCTTGGGTCGCGTGAACTCGTTCTGAGGCCAGGAATTCCCGGGTGCCGCTGGGCGATGGCCAGAAGCACCAGGACTCACGGGCGACGTTCTCGTGCTTCGGCTCATGGTTTGTTGAGGAAAGGATGCTAGGTCCCCCAGCTAGGTGCCGTTG